AGTGTACCTCTGGTGCAAATTACTGACCTCTGTCATCATTTTAGGTGGGGGAACTTGCACAATCGGTGGCTGACTAAATACTTTTTTGCCCCACTGTACATACTATTTGTTTGTATAGTGTTTGCATACTATTTGACTGGAAATGATAAAAAAAACTCTAAAAATACTTGGAGAATATGCTCTCACATGTGACATTAAGCATCTGTTCATGAGGAACAACCTTTCATTGGCACAGTTGCCGATGCCTTATCAGCTTTAAGCACCTATTTCAACATGTGCTTTTCTGCCGTTTTATGATCCCTGTCCAAGCTTATTGTACTTGAGGGTCAGTATCATTACCTGACAGACTGTGAAAGCCAACGCTCCTGTCAACAGTACTTACTTCCTGTGGGCAGATTACAGTTTACTGCATGTGATATCTGTGTATTATCCAGCTTTAAGTTGAATTTGAACTCGTGTCTGTTCCTGTGTTGACTATAATAAGACACATAGTGTAGATTTTAAAATTAATATTAATTTATTTCATCTGATTCATAATGAGTCTTAATCCTGGCTTAAAAAGTAAGCAATGCTTTTCTCGCTCTGACCTGTCCAGACTTACGTATGTACTTATGCGCTGAACAAGTGGGCTGAAACAAAACAGAGAAAGTTCAATGTGTCTTTTATCAAATGCTCCACTTCCTTAAAGCAATTAGAGAAATAACATGACCCAGGTAGAGTACACCACCTCCGCTGCATCCTGCTTAAGAGCATACAGTGCATACCATTTGTACTTACAAGAGCCGAGAAGTTTTAGGGTTTTTTTCAAACACATAAGGGACTCGTGAGGATAGATTATTAAAAACATAATGTTGGGTTGTTGTTGGTGAATGGGTTGTTCACCATATTGGGCAGTATTCACAGGCATTTTTTTAAATCCACGATTCCACGATCACTGTGTCTTTATTAAAAAAAAAAATACAGGCATTGATTTGAAGTACCTTGCTAGTATGGGGTTGGACCCCCTGTTGCCTTCAACATTGCCTTAATTCTTCATGACACAGGCGCTGGAAACATTCCTCAGATCTTTTGGTCCATATTAACATGACAGCATCACACAGTTGCTGCAGATGTCTCTATCATGCATAGAATGCACCTCCCCTCCATCACACCCCAAAGGTGCTCTATTGCAGTGAGATCTTGTAACTGTAAAGCCCATCTGGACATGTTCAATAAACCAGTTTGAGATTAGTTGAGATTTCTGACATCAGAAGATAGGTAAATCTTCTGGGGGCTCATAAAGAGATAGACATGGTCAACAACTACAACTACGCTTATTCATTTTAATCAGCTGAAAGTGTGCCCACTAAATATCCCCCACATCATAGCTTCACCGGCAGCCTGAACCATTGATGCAAGGCAGGATGGATTCATGCTTTCATGGTGCTTGACGCTACCATCTGACGGTCGCAGCAGAAATTGAGACTTGTCAAAACAGGAAGCCTTTTTTTTTTCAATCTTCTGTTTGTCCATTTTGGCGTGCCTGCGTTAATTTTAGCCTCAGTTTCCCGTTCTTAGCTTACAAGAGCGGCACCCAGTGTGCTCTTCTGCTGCTTTGGGCAATTTGCTTCACAACTGATGTGTTGTGGGTTCAGAGACGGTTTTCTGCATACCTTGATTGCAACAAATTATATTTTTGAGTTTGGGTCATGGTGCTGCAATGTGGTTGGCTGGTTAGATATGAGCAGTTGAACAACTG